GGTACATTTTCCCACGCTTCGATCCTGAAGATGAATGTGACATTTTCCTCTGGAACATCGGTAACAATCTACTACCAAACTACACTGTGTCACATCCTCGGAGACAGAAATTTTCACAGCCATTATCGTGAGAACCTGAAATCTCGCAATATAGCGTGTACAGCCGTTGCTATGAAATGACTACGAGCTAGGCTAGTAAAAACGGCCGTTTCTAGACAGCAGATCACTAAACATGTTCCCGCTAGAACGAATACGCAAGCAACAACATAGTTACTTTTTGAAACGGTGTTTTCTACCCGGTCCTTGCAAAGGGGTTATAAGGAAGACAATTTGGGGCGAGCCAGTTAGTTGAGATTTGCGTTCTGCAGGGGAGGCTTTGAAGAGATGGCGCTATAGTTGAGTTGACAGTTCAGTTGTGGGACATTCGCCGGAGAGTTACTACGTGAGCACAAGAGCTGCATAATCTGTATTGTTGGGAGCTGTTACCAAGCAACGACCAGTGAAGACACTGCAGGCTGAAGAAGACTTAGCTTTCAGTGATTTGTAAAGTGTGGAAATCAGCGGTGGCGCTGTAATTACTTGTAGTTCCGAGTCGTGTGTACAAGTAGTCAATAAATGCGTTGACCAGTCCAAATCCCGTCTGTAGTCACTCCTAAATCGTGACAATACGAAACAGTGCATGGAGTCTGAGGAACGTACGCCTAATTAATTGGCCTTCTGAGCTAACAATTCCGTGAACTGTTTGCTTACAAAGAGAGCGAACAGCATACGAATCCATCTGAGATGAAGCCTGGGGCCGCTCTTCCAGAGTGGCTTCATCTCGGATAAACTGCAATGAGATGGGTACATTTCACCCCTCAAGTAATTAAACTTCCCGACCATTGGACCCCCGACGCGGACAAGTGCTGGAGCAATTAGCTGTTCGGCGCGCCTCTCCAGTTACACGAGAAAGGCGACCGTTCGGATTACAAATTGGGGATTAGCGGCAATGCTAGATTGACTCGTAGCTCGCTCTTTAGTTCCCATGTTCTTTTCGTTTTCTCTGTCTTTTTATAATGTCATTGTTCAACGACGCTAATCCTCATGGCTGAAGCTGTAATGCTTGTGACTTGTATCGGGGGAAGTGAGTGGTTCGAACCTCGACCTGCGTACCGGGTATCCTGATTTATTATTTTTTATTGTTATTAGTGGGGTGGGACTAAGTCCCTTGACTGCGGCCATTACTGGCCTATTGTACCAGCCACAGATGATAGGTGAGGGTGACTGTGGAGCAATTGGTGGAATGAAGATTGGCAGGGGAAACCGAAGTACTCGGAGGAAACCTGCCCCAGCGCCACTTAGTACATCACAAATTCCATATGACGAGACCTGGGCTCGAAACCAGGCCGATGCGGTGGGAAGCCAGCGACTAACCGCTTGAGCTATGGCTAGGCCTCCTCCTGCTTTGGATATACGCGAATTTCCATGGTCTCCAGGAAAATATCTGGATGGTGTCTCAAATTTGCCCACAGTCATTTCCTTCCATACACTTTTCAATTCATTGTTGATCATCCCACCCTTCGACGCCGTATATCAGTGAGAGCGCCGTTGGATAAACTGCAAATAAATAAATAAATAAATATATGGGGTCTAAATATGCTCATGTTTCTTGCTTTTCTCCTTCCTGTGTTATTCCATTTTATATTTTATTCTGTTGTCATTCTTTTTTTTTTTGTATTTTACAGCTTCTTATTTATTTCTTCCTTTCTTTATTCCTCCTCTTTATCTTACTCTTTAGGAGCTGGAGTAGCTCAGTCGGTACGTGACTGGGCTGGACCAAAATGTACAAGATTTTTCAGTTCACGCGGGAGCATAAAATGCTTTTCTTTCCACCGGGACCAGAACCGCTCTGGGCCTATCCAGCGTCCTATTAATTGGGTACTTGGCTTCTTTGCAGTGAGGGGGAGGGGGGGGGCTTGAGCTGTAGGCTGACCACTCGATCCATCCAGTGCCTCGATGATCGTGTAGAGCTATACCTCCACTCCCTCATGAACCTTCTGTGCACTGTTTGATTAAGCACACGGACAACACTACGTGTTTGTGCTTTTTCTTTACTTGTCATGTGTGTCGTACTTTCTAAGAACCGTGTTATTTGCCTATTTATATATTTTTCCTTCACTTTTCCCCTTTTGTTTTCCTGTGCTTGTCTGTTGCCGCCTCTGTGGTCTAGTGGTCAAAGTTCCTGGCTACAGATCCTGAGGTTCCGGGTTCGATTCCCGGCGCTGACAGATTTTCTGAGAAGTAATGGGTTCTGGAACGAGGTCCACTCAGCCTCGTGAGGATAATTGAGGAGCTATTTCAAGGAATGAGCGGATCCGGTCTAGAAAATCGAAATTAACGGCCGTGGGGGATTCGTTGCGCTGACCACACGACACCATCTATCCGCTAAAGTTGGCACTAACTTCGCCGACAAGCTGCGGTCGCTCGGTCGGTATAGTTCATTTGCTGACTGCAGGCCACGGAGTTCTTGTCTGTTACCTATTTTCTTTTTCATTCCTTTTTCCATTTTTGTGTAGTCTACTTTATCAGTCGTCTGCTTAGATCCCATTTGTTCCTCAGTTCTTCCACATTCAGTTCATATGCAAAGCTATGTTATTACATTAAGTGTATTACCCAGATATGCTATCAATGACTGAATTCAGCTGAACTGTTTTACTCGCAACCCAGATTTTCATTAACACGACAGAATGAGCAGTACACCTCGGGCCGTATGCAGTAGAGGCACTGACACCCCAGGGCCCCAACCTCTCCACTGTGAACCCTGCTTCTCTCGCTAAATTACATTTATTCTCATCACCCTTTTGTAAGTACAGTTTACGTCTAATGGGGTGGTAAGGGGTGAGAAACAATTCTGTCAATTCGTGAAGTGATTATGGTGAGTGATATAGTCATTGCATTTCAACTGATCCGAGCAGGAACATGAATTTAAAATAGAGAAGGGGTGACATATTTGTATCGGAACAACCCCCTAGTAGGTCTGTTCATTTTCTTAAAGTCAATGAAGTTGATTAGATTGCAGAACTGTTCAGTTAGAGGGGTGGGTATATTGACTATGTAAACGTATTCAATCCATTTACTGCAAATATGGGGCAATCTACGAGGGCACAGTGTTCCCATATTGTATTAAACTCACAAAGCTACTAACGCGTTCACTTTCTACTTATCGCGTCTGCGCAGATTGAAGGCTCTTTGTGAAATGAAACGTCTTTGAGGGTACGTCGCAACTTGTGTAGGCAACTTTACGGAAGAAAAGCTTTGTGCGTGCAACGAGGTCTCCAGTTTGGTGATTTTGATGCTCATATGTTAAAAATACATACAATCGAATAAATTTCTGTCATGACGTAATTATTATCTGATGGTGACGTAATGTACAAGTATTTTAGACAGATCAGGTTAGGGATTGTTGTCACCGTAAGAGAAGATCTCGTTCTTCCTGTTCTGGGCATAGTGTATATCTCCGTGGTCGGTCTTTGGTGCTGTTTACATTGGTATCGGGTTTTGAAATAGAGATATTTTGTCAATTCTTTACTACTTCAGAAGAGTCTAGTATTTCGTTCGAAGACCATAAGTATTGTAGCGTGTAGAGCCGTTGATGTGCGACGACCGCGAGATATGCGAATATACCAGAGCCTTCTCTAGGCAACGGCTCTGTAAACACGTTCCCGCAGCAACAAATCGACCCTCAACAATGGAGGTACTGTTGGAAACGGGGTGTTTGTACGTGGTCCGCGCCGAGTTTTACGTCTCCAAGACAGTTGGGGTGACCAAGTTAGTTCTGTACGGGAGTCTATGAAGAGAGGACATGAGCGCATGAAGCTGAAGAATCTCCATTGTTAGAAACCGTTGCCAGGGAACGGCTAGTGAAGACAAGCTGGAAAAGGCTTAACGGGTGGTGTGGTGATTTGTGAATTGTGGAGATTGGGGCTGCTGCTGTAATTGTTAGTAGTTCCGATTCGTGTGTTAAAGTTATCAGTAAATTCATTTACCAATCGAAATCTCGTCTGTAGCCACCGATACACGTGACATTATTTTATTTCTCTGTCAGTTAAATATACCTTGTTCAGAAACCCTAAGAATTTCAGAATATTTTTGAATATTTTAATGGCCTTGTACATGCCGGTCAGAAGAAAAGATTTCCGTTCGGGCCTCAGTATCCTTCATGTTTTACGCTTTGGATTGTACAATAAGGAAACAGTTTTGATTGTTCTGTCTGGCCTCCTTGTCAGAGAACATACTAAATATTTATCTTGCAAATGAACACAAAATTTCAGGATAAAATCCTGACAATGGATATGATCCTGAGATTAGACCCGAAGGCCATTATTTTGTGAGCCAAACTGGATCAGTCAGTAAACTGCCTGGCTACGGGCTTCAGCGGCCGGTGTTCGATTCCCGGCAGGCAGAGCAAGAACTGTTTTCTTCGTCACCATATCCTGACCGTCTGTGGTACCCACGCTAACCCCTAATGTAAAGACTTCCCGATGCTTAAGCACTACGCCAAGACGTATAGCGGAGTGAAGGTGTAGCTCTACGTATTCTTGTAAGTAACCAAGACGACAGAGAAATCGGGTTAAATTTCTAGAAGAGGAAATATATTTCTTTCTTCTCCACAGCGTCCAGTCCGGCTCTGGGGCCCACCCGGTCTCCTATCCAGAGAGTAAAGCGACCGCGCGTGAAGGTGACAGCTCACCTCCACATCGAATCGACGTTAAAAATTCGTAGTTATACCTCCACGCCGGCATATTCCTTCATGGCGTTGTATTTAATACAGCAGTAGCGGAAGAGAGAGTGCTGTATGTGTGCTACAACGATTTTAGCCAATTGTCGGTACACAGAAGACAGAAATGTGCTGACCGTTAAGCACGGGCTACTGCAATTTGGCACAGCAATGAGGCGAGTTGCAATTTCTCAGAATTTCTGAGCTGATATTGTGATTGTTGTTGTTATTGTTGCTGTTGCAGGCGGTGATCAAGAAGTCGCGGGTGACATGCAAGTGTCACGGTGTCTCTGGGTCCTGCAGCCTCATCACGTGCTGGCAACAACTTGCCCCTTTCAGGGAGATCGGTGAGTGAGCGCTCTCGGCCTCAACATATTTCCTCATCTTCTTCTGTTTCGTGGTTATTTGTTCTCCTTCCCTTACTCCTAATTCGTAATTCCGTTCTCCTCTATAATTTCTTCCTTTCTTCCGTCTATTTCTTGTTCTCTTAATTTATTGCTTTTCTCTTCTTTATCATCTTCTCTCTCCTACATCTCCTCTCACGCCCTGTTCAGTTCATAACCCGTGTGGGTTTTGAGGTTGTCACACCGGTGGTTATGAAGAGTTCTATCTTCGGGGGTATGATGTCATGTAGTCCGTTGAAAGTCAGATGACTTCGGAGGACCATGTCGCATTCATCGTGAGGCTTGAAGTAGCATGAAGCTCTGTTTGCTACCTGCTTTGTGCTCGTTTCTTCCAGGGATTATTAATTGACCTTGAAGATGGATCCGATATGTTCCTCTGAAACGTCGGTTTTCTTTCAGATGACTTCACGGAGTTCTATCCCAGAAGATAAAAAAAAATTCTTATCCTGTTCTTAGTTTTACATTATCTCACTTCTAATCTTCTACTACTACTGCTACTACTACTACTACTACGATTGTAGCACTAAAATACCAAGAATAAATACTCTCCAGATGAAATGCAAACAGGATACTACTACTTCTTTCAGCGTCCGAAAAGCGTGCGTTGTAATTCCTTAATACACGGATTTCAACGAAATTTGGTGTTGGAGAGTCTGGCTCAGATTTGTAAGGTTTATACTCGTATAGGTCTAGTATACGCCCCCCTCCAAACTTTACCTGAACTTAAAAAAAAATATTTTTATAAAGGGCTGTCGGAATTTGAGTATCGTACGGAGTCTCGGAAACACCGTCGATAAAGTCCTTGTTTAAACTTCACCTTACGGACGCGCTATCGGGTATTGAGAATCGATTGTTCGTTCTTTACGGAGGCACGGAGCAGGTTGGCTCGAACGATAAACCTTCTATCGGGACACCGACTGCCTTGTCTGAGGTTTGTCGTAGCTCTCTAGAGTCCCTTAGACCAGTGTGTCCCAGATCTGCGAGCGACCCAGGGGTTCCACGAAGTAAAATTAGCGGTTCGGCAAGACAGTTCATGCCTTAGACCGCGCGGCCACTGTGATCTGCATCCTGTCAATCTACGCCACATAATTTGAGTTAGTACCAGCGTTATTAGATAAACCCAGCTCTTTCCTGCAGAGACTGAGGAAGGTCTGAACCAGGACCCCCCCTAGCACACTGCGACAAGCAGTGTTGCTGTATGAAACATGACGCAACAGTTACTCGCCGGCGCAGTGCCTCTGCTTGCGGTTATTGTGTCCGACGTGTTCCTTCGACCGCGATGTAAAGTTATCTGGGCTGCATGACAGCCAGCAGCGGTGGGTTGCTGTGGTAATTGCGGTGATGCGAGCGACAGGACAGCCTGCCCGTAGCCGGGACTCACATACCAAGGCGAAGGAAGGGACAAGAAAGGATGGCCATCGTCGTCATAATAAGGTGCCCCGGAAATAATTCCGAGGTGATGCGAATCCGTGAAATCAGAAACATTTTGTTGATTAATGACGGTCAGTAGTGGCTGAGCTGGTCAAAAAGTTCCTCTCCTTTCATTGAATCTGAAACTTCGTTATCGTGCACTGGTGATGATGGGGTGGTATGGAATGGATTGATCTGGCTAAGGATAGGGACCAGTAGAGGGTTCTTGTGAACACGGAAATGAACCTTCGGGTTCCACAAAATGCTGGGAAGTTCTTGAGTAGCTGCACAAATAGCGGCTTCTCAAGGAGGGCTCAGCTCCCTGAAGTTAGTTACTACTACTGCTACCATCATCACCTCTAAGATTAGTCCTGTAATTAGTTTTGTAATTAAGCACTATGCCATGAAGGCGTATGGGGGAGTGGAAGTACAACGCCACAGTGTTTTACCTCGGTACTAGTTGGAGGTGAGTGGTCAGTTCAACGTCCCTGGTACCCACTGGATAGGAGACTGGGTCGGCCCCAATGCCGACTGAGCTATCCTGGATCACACCATACTACTGCTGCTGCTGCTGCTGGTACTACTACTACTACTACTACTACTATACTACTACTACTACTACTACTACTACTACTACTACTACTGCTACTACTACTACTACTAACATCACCATTACGTTTGTAGCACCAAAAATACCAAGAACACATTGTCTCCAGATTAATTGCAAAGCAAGTGTGACCAATCGGATTGTACTGATGACATAATGATCATACACTTTCCTAAGAATTCTTTCAAAGGTGATCCATGCCATTCCTAATTCTTACAAACAGAAAATGTTTGTATATCCGAAACGGATTTTACAAACGACAATTCGCGAAGTTCATATCCACATTTACAACGGATATTGGATATGCATCTATTTAGGTTAAGACCGAAGAGCAATAAGCTGGAGAGTTATCAAGTTTTGTATGCACCTTGTTGTCCCAGTCCCGCTTCCCTGTACTTTATTGCCCCCCTGTCACAGAAATCACATCTGCCTGGCTTTGTAGTGAGGAAACTAGGGGCCCACATGACAGTTGTAAGAATCCAGTTGGTTTCATTCCTATAAAACCTCCAGGTTATGTCCATTTGATGACCTAAATTGGTCTTAAACCAGGGATTTGATCACGATAGAAGTCTGAATGGACTTCTAGCACAATATTATGGGCACTGGGGCACAGTTATCGAATTAATCCCTGTTGGGATATTGATGGGAGTTCATCTGTGGTTTAGAAGTGTGTGAAACATATTGTCACGTGTAGGAGTGAATCTCGACGGGGTTTGGTGATGGATATTGGATTCACTGCTCAGTTTAACACAGCTATTAATTACACTTAATTATAAGCGTCATTGCAGTCTAGAAAACCGAGATTAACGGCCGTGGGGATCCGTTGCGCTGATCACGTGCCACCCTCTATCCGCTAAAGTTGGTACTAACTTCACTGACAAGCGGCGATCGCTCGATCGGTATAGTTCGCTTGCGGACTAAAGCCACGATGTTTCTTTTTGTTTTATGGTAACGGGTACTCAGGCGGTAAGCGGCTAGAGCTTCACACTTCGGCCCCTGACAGCTTTGCTAACAGCGGTGTCAGTCTGGACGGAATTGAGGAAAGAGATTCTCCGTGACTCTGTCGACAGTCGAACCCGGGTACAGGCTGAAGTATTCAGGACGCTTACGGATGTTTGTTCCGGAACTCAGACGCAATTAGGCGTTGTTGCGTAACGCGTCGAACAGATCGAAACGTACCTATCCTTCGTGTTGGGGAGACTTTTCTAATTTGTTTTATGCCCATTTGTTAGAGTCATGAAGCAGTTTGAAAGACATAATCAAACTGGATGATACAGTGCTTCGCATCACAAGAGGCTGTATTGAAATCTGCATTTCTATTCAGTGATTCATAATTCGGTTTCCTGGAGCAGTCCTTTCTGTATTGCGACCATTATTATAATCATGCATTTCGAGACGTGACAAGTGAATGCGAGCTATGGTACTTGCCTCCAGCGCGTACAAATGTTCCTGGAACAGGGGTGGGAAACACTCGGCCAGTTCTCTCTCTTGTTAGAGATGTACTTACAGCAGCTACAGTTCACCAGTTGTTGGCAGCTCACGGCGTATGATTGTTGTATTTTCACTTCCTACCATCAGTAACTTAAGGTAGGTAAACATTAGAGACATCTTACATAGGGGTGTGAATGTCTATATGGTTACAGAGTTCCAAACAAGAAGTTCTGATAAGAACTTATCGTCTACTTTTCTTTGATGTTACACGGACCGCATAGAAAGCGACGCCTGTAACAATTCTTCGTTGCCGCTGGAACGTGTTTTCCGAGCTGTTTCCTAGTAATGAGAAGGGAATACACAAACAGACCCCTAGACTCTCCTTTGATAGAACACCGACCGCATAGAAAACCACGCCTCCAACATCATCATCATCATCATCACTGGCACGACAGCCCTTTGTGAGCCCTGGCCTTCCTCAGGATTGCTCTCCATTCTTCTCTATTCGATGCTACATTCCTCCAGTTCTTTACACCCAAAATTCTTATGTCCTGCACGCCTCCAACAGTTCTTCTATTATTGTGTAATCGTTGCCGCGGGAACGCGTCTACCAAGCCGTTGTTTAGCAACATTGGGGATAAACAGACTGATTGGAGGGATTTATGAAATACGCCGTTGAGATGGGCTCAGGTGCCATGATATACATGCCAAGTTTCTGAAAGTTTCGTTCAGGAGTTCAAAAGTTGTTGGGAGAGAGGATACACGGACACAAAAACAAAAAGGTAATCACATAAGCCTATGTTTATGTTTTAAAAATAAGGAAAGTGGGCTGAAAATATGAAGCTTTTGTTATGATAATGTTTTGTGGAATGCGTAGTAACGGGACAGATGCCGCAATACTCCTGTAGGAACGTCTTTACTCGTAGCTTTCGGTTTGTTGGCGAGTTTCACGAACCGTTGGATAGAGTAAACGTGCCCAATTTCGTAACATACCTGAGTTCGTGGTATAATACGCCACCAAATTAGGTATGTGACCTATTGTTAGTTTCAGCAGTTCTCCATAGATGCCTCGATTATGAAGCCAACTATTGCAAACATAAGCCTACTTCATTTCATGGCAGATTAGTGTTCCATCAGGAATTTTATCTGTGTTAAAATGTGTGATTCAGAGAATAAGCCATCGGCCCTGATGATGGGGACAGCGATGGTCCCTGAAACGTCTGTTATTTTTAACCACCTGACACGACTGATAGCCCGAGAAGATTTTATCATCTTTAACCGCCATGAAGGCTTCAGATCCTGCAGAATATAAGTTTCTCAAATAGACGTAAATATTCACAGTTTAACTCTTAACAGTTTTCTTTCGTGTTTCCTTAGAAGCAGATATAATTGTGAACAAAATTTTTTATATATTTTGGAACATCAGTAAATTGTGTAAATTCACTACGAATAATCGATAAACTTTAATCATTTTTAGACTACATTATTTATCGTA